TGAAACAGCCTTTGACAAAATCTGAGGCCAGCTTGGTATAGAGAGTGAGTTCTAGGACAGAGAAACCCTGTCTCAAAAAACCAAAAAAAAAAAAAAAAAAAAAAAATTCAGGTATGAGTGAGTCACTACACTTGGCTCATTTGAATTAAGTTACTGAAATTGAAAGGAATAAAATAAAATCTAGGGTTTTTTTTTGTTATTTGCTTTTATTGTTGTTTGAGACAAGGCCTCAAACTGTAGTCCAAATGTAAGCTCAGGTTTGTAATGATCCTCTTGCTTCAGCTTAGTAAGCGTTTGCATTATAGATGTGAGCCATGTTTGAAATAAATCTGGGTTTCTATGCTGTTACAAAGCATGGACACAAAAAAATCTCCTTCTAGATAGTTTTTCAGGCTGGTAAGATGTGCAATGAGTAAAGGCACTTGCCACACAAACCTGGAGACCTGAGTTTGATCCTTGGCACTCAATAAAGGTGGAAGGAGGGAACTTTCAGGAAGTCGTCTTCTGACTTGAAACATGCACCCTGGCACATTTGCCCACATACATGCACACACACACACACAATAATAATAATAAGTAAATTCTAAAAAGTCAATTGAAAGAGTTTTTTTTTTTTAAAGAATGTGTCTGTATTCATTTAGTTATAACAAATGCTATTCATGGTGGCTTGTGCTTATAATCTCAACACTTGGAGGCTGGGAAAGAAGGACCATTGTGTTTTTGAGGAGGATCTGATCGACATACCTAATGGCAGGGAAACTTAGGCTACAGAGAAAGATAATGTCTCAAAAATTTTATATATATACATATAAACACACACACACACACACACAGAATATTAAGTGCAGGGCCTGCTGGGGTGGTGGGTCCTGGACCCGTGGAATCCCAATCTAGAGAATTAACTGTCAAAACCAAGTCACACTTTGGAGGATCCCTCTTCATTTTGCTTTTCTCTAATCAGAGAAAACTGGATAAACTAGAAAGCATAATGGAAAAAAAGTCAATAAGGGCAGAGAAGAGCTGAAGAAAGGGGAAGAGACTTTGACACTTGACTTGTTAATGAGAGCCAGAAAGGGGATTTCCTATACCCTATGTATCTTTCAGTCTCATAGGTTTGGGGAAAGGAATATGCTCAGTGATTCACCTCCCTTTCTCAGTACTGAGGCTTACTCTGGTGCATGCAATTTCCTCCTCATGTATTATGTAGTGACTAATGGAAGGGCTAGGTCACCAGCCAATGTTTTACTCCAACTCAAAGCTATAGGATTTCAATTGGCCTTAGCCTGTTGGGCAATAGGAAGTTTGAATCTTCTCTTATCAAATGAGTGGGGCTCTCAGAAGTTATGAAGGGACTTCACTTGGGATTTGTTAAAAACAGAGGGCAGTGGTCATAGAAGTTTGAGGGTAGTTTCCTGTTTGGCTCTTCTATATCTTGGGGTGGATCTGAAAATCTTACCTCTGATGGAGGAAAATGCTCACAGTGTTGATTAATTATCACTAAGAATTCACTGAAGAAAATTGGGCAACCCCTATCAGATGTTTAGATGAAAGGATAGGTAGTTTCTGATGACACAAGTGTAAATGCTAGGTCTGTAGGTGAAGCTTTTAAAGGGTCCACTCTGAAGATACCTTTGCTTGGAGATTCTAACCCAATACAAACATTCCAAGTCCTCTTGATGAAGTGGCCAGATTCACAGGGGGCAAAGCTTTGTTTTGGATTTACACATTCTATAAAATCGACAGAGTTTCAGGGTTTGTGACTAGCTTTGTAGACATAGAAATATAAATCAAGCCATCTTGAATACCTCAAAAACCTTGCCCATGTGGCTGCTGGCATCAATACTCCACACAAAATTAAAAATTATTTCCCAAGATGCACACCCTGTGCTTCAGTTGATATTTTAATAACTTGATTAAAAATTTCCCAGAAGTCTATTAGAGTCAGGAAACAGTCTGTGGTGTAGGTGAGGATTTGTTTTTGCAACGGAAACTTTTAGCCCCCATGAACAGACTAGCCAAAAACCCTCATTTACATGTTTATCCTCCATCCTCACTTGAATGAATAATGAAAAGTGAAAACCTGTTTGGAAGAATAGGCTTTTATGTTTGCCTCTCTCTCAGTTAGGTAGACTCACAGGATCAATTTTTCAAATTGTCTTTTATTTTCCACTCTTGAATAAATTTGGGCATTCACTATCAGAGACAGACATCATTATAAATAAAATTAAAATGATCAAAGCCAGGCATGGTGGTACTCTCTTGTAATAGGAGCATTTGGAAGGCCGAATCAGGAGGATTGCCCTAACATTGAGGCCAATCTAAATCTACATAGTGAGTTCCAGGCCACCTAGACCTACACAGCAATACCATGTGTCTAAATAAATAAACGCAGTAGCCATAAACATGGTCTGGGGAACCTGGGGGATATATTTTAATTAAAATAACCAATAGCCTGGTATATGCCTGGCAGAGGCAAGCACAGCTCTCTGAGTTTGAGGCCAGCCTGGTCTACATAGTGAGCTCCAGGCCAGATGGGGCTCGGAAAAAAAAAAAAAAATCAACAAGAACAAAACGAAAAAATCCACAAACAAACAAAAAAACCCAAAATTCGATAACTTAAAGGGTGGGTTAGAGTATAGTTTGCCCTTTCTTAATTAAAAACGAGTCTGCTAGTCCTTGGGCCAGCTCACTGCAGAAACTGCTATGAAAAGCCCCGAAGGGCTGGGTTGCTGTCCAAGCCATGGAACTCCATTCCCCTGTGCGAGCTCAAGCCTGCCGGCCTCGGTCGCTGCAAGTCCCTGGAGGTCTTTCTCTTCCTTGCAGACATCTAGGTTCCCCAGGGTCGGTGTCCTCCTGCGTACACCATGGTGCAGGGCCGGCCGCCTCAGGCTCGCCGCCACCAGGTCGTGGCAAAAATCTCTTCCCTTCTTGGGGCCCCAGAAGCCAGGCCGCCTCCCTCCTCCCTCCTCCCTCCTCCCTCCCTGCTGGCGGGGCCCATTCCCAGCCCGGGATCAGCAGCAGCCGCGGCAGC